CTTCTTTTAATCTGGATCTTCGAATCTTTAAATCTCTGCTAGTAAGGCCTAAATTGGACTGACTACAGAGAGGGATATGGACTCCTTGTGAGAGTCCAAATTGCCTACCAAATTGGGCAGGACAATAGGGCTCAGATATGCACTTATAAGCTCTGGGGTTCATAGTTTCAATGAATAGTTCCCTGGGATCAGAATAGAGGCCCATATGTTTTTGTGCTGAGGCGTAAAACATGACCTATCACTCAAAAAGGTCCTCAGCCAGGCTGGGCCAATATTGGTAGTTTCGAATGGGCAGAAGGTGTGAGAAAAAGGGGAAGCTGGGAGTTGGTGAAAGAAAGAAAAGTAAAAGGCAAAGTTGAAAGGATAAAGTGAAACATTGGCTAACTTCATACCATGAGTGATAGGGTTTGGCTCTAAAAACATTAAACATTTAGACTGCAAATCAGTGAAGTATGCAAAAAACCAAAGTTGAAGTATCCAAAATCGGCCTCCTTGATTCGCATCCAAGGGTTTTTCACAAACAAAGAAAACATGCTTTATAAACACGACCCAAAACGTATGGAGCTAGGGCCACCTTTCTTTGTAAAACAAGGGCTTTGGCAAGAGGGGCAAACTCAGGCACGATTCTCTGAGAAGAAGTACAGAAGAGGAATTTGCAAAGCCAATACAATAAAAAAAAAGAAAAATTCTCTATCAGTCACAGGGCCTTCTTTTTTGTTCTTAACCTTGACAAAGTCACTATAGGATGAGTTCAGAGAGGGGAGAAAAAAAGGGATTTGGAGGTCAAGATAGTCTGGACCAATGGGGGTATTAGTAGGGGATAATCCTAACAGATGGCAGATGTCAAGGACAGTAGAAGCCATCATGCCACATCTACATTGGAAGAAATTGAAAGCAGAATTTAAAAAACAAAGAGCAGCATGTATTAAAAAAGGGTCCTTTGAAATGGTGAACCTGGATAATTGAAGGGCGTCGAAGGACAGAGCTCCTGAAGATCCAGTGTCCTATTAGGGACGACCCAATCATACCATTCCTCACACTCTGGTCTTACTGTGGGCTAGTAGCAATGGGGTCGGTTCATCCTCCAGCTTCTCTAATCAAGACCGTCTTCATAAAGGAGGCAATGATATTCCAAACGTGGATACAGAGCTGGAAGCTCAGTGGAAATCTCCTTAAAAATGGGTTCAAGCACGTATTCTTGTTGTTCGTGGTGACGAGGAATGAAGATGCGCCCGTCGATAGCACTTTTCCCACCAGCCTTGTATTTCTCACACTCTTCATCAATGATCCTTTTTAAGGCTACAGACGGATTCACACGTTCCACAACCGGTATTTTCAAAGAGGAAGAAGCCATTGATAGGAGTTTTTTCAGAGGACGAAGTTAGGAAAGAGGGTAAGGGAAGGGAGAAAAGAGAAAGCCAATAGAGATGAAGGGCTTGTGTGTTAGGCAAACAAGTGAATTGAAAGCACGAAATAAAAAAGGGTTTTTAATCCTTTCTATCTAAAAAAATATCCAATCGTTTTAAGTGGGTTGAATTCATAAAGAAGTGCTAAAGGTACAAATGCGAAAAGTTGCTCTCAATGTTGATAATTTGGGAGGGAAACGTATCTCAAATACTAATATTGGCTTCGAAATCAATTTTGGCGCCAAAATCAAGTGACAAACAGCTTCGAAAGCAAGAAGTTAACTTCAAAGCATATTTCACACCTGAGAGTGCAGGAGTGCCCAAGTATTTGTTTACTTCAAAGGGATTAAAGACCTGCTTTTAGGTTTCTTGGCGAAAGTAAAATCCTTCGAAGAAAAGTTTGAAATACTTTACGGTTAGAATTTGTTTGTTCTAGGCTTCAAAGTGACGTAAAACCAATAGTTGGTTTAGTAGTATACAAAAGGAATCACTCTTTTAGAATAAAACAGTACAATCCTTAAAGGAAGTTTCCATACTTTGAAAAATGTAGACTGTTTGTTCGAAAAAAAAATAGTTGATTCGAAACTGTTGATTGTATTAACCATATGATTGGGAAAAGAAGACCTAAGGCAGAGGTTGTTAATTACACTCCATATACTGGGGAAGTTCAAATTAGGTCTTTAGCATTCCATTGGATATGTTTAATTCAAGTCTCGAAGGACAAAATTGGTGAATTCGAAGCTCTGATTTTGTTCATTTTGGATAAACAGAATAAAATCAGACCATGCCGAATAAATAAAGAAAGCCTAGCTTTGTTAAGGTGAAAGTAATTACATCAGAAGGCTTTTTTGGCTACATATTCAATTTCATAAAAATAAGGAATAGAGAAAATGACAAGGTCATGGAACTTGTTCCAACATTGGTTGATGAATTTATGTTCCTTTTTTATTATGTCTTCCTTCTTCTCCAAGCTAGGCTGCTGAAGCTGATATGCTCTTATTTGATGCAAAAGTTGTTCGGCTTTTATTTCAAACTCTGTTTCCTTCAATCCTTGTTCTATCTCGTCCATATCCAAGTCATCCCAATATGTAGAGTCTTTATTCTTGAAGTCATTAGATTCATCGATAAGGTTCTTTGCTTCATACTGGGTGTGAATTCGACGGGATAAGATGTTGTCCAAATATTGAGTGGTGGCCACATAAGTTTGGTGCCAATGAAGAAGTAGTGGGAGTTGATCCAAAAACATCTGAAGCTTTGCTTGGGCAATAGGATTGAGGACATGACTTCGAGTCATAATGTTACAAGCCCATCGAAGGTTCTTAAGAGGAATATCACCCTCAAGAACATTGAAGAGCAAGTGAGAAAAGGCCGCAAGCAGAAGCTGAGCTTGATATCGTTCAAATATAGTGGGGAAAGTTAGAGGTTGATAGGAAGGAATAAACTGATTCTCAAATAGAGTAAGTCTCAGTTCTTCCACCCAATAAGGGTTTTGCAGAAGAGGAGGCATAGGAGGATCCATCTCGAAAGAAGGAGGGAACTAGGGGTTGTTTACGCAGTAAAGCCAGTCAAAAGAGCAAAATTTTGCCCTCTGGGCTAAGAATGATGGGTTGTACCCTTGTGTTTCGTTTGGACGACGAGCGGCTTGCACAATCTTCGTAGGTATGGAGGATGTGTACCATGCTATGAGTAAGTTGTCTTCTAAACTGCGTCGGCGATCGATGGATACATATGGGTAAACCACCGAGCTCCAAACGAAAGGAGGGAAAGATGGAAGATCAGGGAATTCGATGAAGTGATGATTAATGCACTCCCTCAGCTTGGATTCCTTAGGTTCTAGCCAACCTTCCCAGCCAGAAGTCTTAGAATAAGAAGAAGAAGTTGCAGCCTCATCCCACGCAGAAAGTTTTGGGTCAGAAGAAGAGCTTCCAATATCCATGTTTGCAAAGTTTTGGGCTAGAGAATTATGAACAATAGGTTCGTAATCCAAAGGTCGATAGTTTGCAAAAGCTTCCATGACTTGAATATAGGAAGATGGATAAGAGTGGCTAATAAATGCATGAAAATTCTTTCGAGGGCAAACATTATTATCTAGCAACTCCTCATATGCTCGATCTATGTCAAAGAAAGTTTGTTTGGCCATGCGAGCTGTATCAGTCCTTTCGAATGCTCAAATAATGGGAAATGTTCAAGGTGTGGAAAAGAATTTAATGCAGGTAATTGCAGTTCTAAGAAGATGTGAAACCCATGTACGTCCTAGGACGTGGGTGAAGTGTTTTGATCCATTAATATCACAAAGTATTGGGTATATTAGTGCGAGGGGTAACATTGGATGTATAAATTGTATAAGCCAATCAGATTCAACACGTGGTATGAGAAGGGCAATTTGGGAAGGCAATATAAATTGCCAACCATAGTCAGACACGTGTCAACTCATACTGGCAATAATGAGTCTGCATAACACTGGAATGATCAAGGGATATAAGATGATGTGGCCTAACGGTTACTCACAAGATTCAAATTCAAAATTTGGAGGGAAGCCTAACTGCAGACATGGCGTAGTGGAGCTAACTGTGAGGAAGCATGATTAGCGATTATGGAGGAATGCTTCGACAGTTAGAAGCTCATTTCGACAGTTATCATTGAGAAGTATAAATAGCATAGAAGGCACCGGAAAGAGCTCTAGACTCAAATCCAGAAAACCAGTTTTTATCTATTTTATTTTCCTTCCAGTTTTTACATTTCTTGCTCTTTACATTTCTGCACTTCAAATTCTTGTATTGCACTTTATTCATATGAGTAGTTTCGAATAGCTTGTCGCTATAAACCTCTACGAGGCTGGATCAGATTATTGTAAGTTTTTCATTTTGCTTAACGAAATGCTGCAATTGTTCTTCATTTAATTATTGTTTACTAAATTCTCCTAAACAAGCCACCAGTAAAAATCTTCTTCATTGAGGCTGAAAGAACTGAAATACAATCGTCAGATAATTGGTTGACAATTAATCTTCTGTAAGAGCTGATTAATCCTTGCTGGGACGTTCAAAATTACAACACTAACCTTCGAAAACCAAAAAAGCCAACAGTCCCTTATTTCATTTTTCATTATTCAAAATATTAGTCATTTTTCAAAAATTAAGGACTAAAATAATATTAATCTCTTATTTTGCCATTCTTTTAAATTCATTAACAACACAAAAAGTATAATTATGACAATTGATATTTTTCAAAAAATGTACTATCAAAGGGTAATTTTGAAAAATAATTTTTTTTAAGTGCAATAATTGTACTATCAAAAAATATTAAATGCCCCCAAAGAAACTATTATTTTGAATTAAAGGAAGTACCAAATTTATTTGTTATCTAATGTAAAACACTACGGGCATGTTTGATTGGGTGGATTAGAGCATGGGATTAGGATTATTAATCCGTGGGCCCAATTATCTCATGTTTGTTTTAACATTTTGGTTTAGGATTATTAATCCAATGGATAATTAATCCAACAAATTTGTAGGATTATTAGTAATGGGGTAGGGGTGGGATTATTAATCCAATGGATATTAATCCAATTGGATAGTGAATCCTACACTAATTTAATAGGATTATTAATACTTCACTATTAATCTTGTGAATCAAACATGACCTGAGATTATGAGTTCAGTATTCCAAGTGTCCTCAATTTTGGTCCCAACAATAACTCTCTCTATCTATATATATATGATCTTAGTGAGGAGGAATCTATATTTGATGTTTTATACATGCATAATCCAAAATTTTACATGTTATACACAATTTCAATACCGGGATTGATAAAATTGGAAGTATGATCGTCCTGTGAGAGTGTTTTCCTGGTTCTCATGCTTTGATTTCGCTAGCACGTTTCATTTGAAGGGCAGCTCTAACAACATTTCCTCTTGTAATAATCCCAACCTTCATAATAGTAAAGTTATTTAATCAGAAAATGCAAGGAGAAAGATGATAAAATGAGCTGAGGAGGGAAAAACAGGGATGTTCCTTACCAGCTTTCCCTCGCCATCTACAACTGGAAGTCGACGATACTTTGTTTCTAGCAACATTCTGAAACATAAAAATCAAGCAGTCCATAGATGCAGTCTAGTTATTATTTTTAACATGGACAAAGGTAGTTGTAGCCAGGGAAGAAACCAGAAGACAATATACCACTCTAAAACTTCTGAACAAGCACATTATGCAACATCACCAAGCGCTCAATCGGTGACGTCTGAGTCTTAAGGTCGGTCAAAAATGGGGTGTCTACAGTTACGTTTGGAAAAAGTACACTAAGGATTTTTTTTTGTATTACATTGAAACGTTACATTTGGAAAAGAGTACACCAAAAAGTTTTTTTTTAGTGTTATGTTGTTATATTTAGAAAAAAGTACACCAAAGATTTTTTTTGAGTGCTATGTTTGGGAAAAGCACACCAATGAGTTTTTTAGTGTATTACATTAAAATGTTACTGTTGGCTACATATTTTGTGCAGGCCAATCGCAATTTAACACGCGGCAGGATGAGGACAATACATGAAGACAATTCGAATATCCAATCCCAATCATACACGTGGCAATTAGCATTGGTTATTGTGGATCTGCATAGCACTAAATCAGGAAAGAGATGCAAGATGACGTGGCTTGATGGTTACTCATCTATTTAAATTCAAAATCAAGAGGGAAGCCTAACTGCGGACATGGCGTAGTGGGGCTAACTATGAGAGAGCATGATCAGCAATCATGGAAGGATGTTTCAACGGTTAGAAGTTCATTTCGACGGTTATCATTGAGAAGTATAAATAACAGAGAAGGCTCTAGAATAAAACACACACTCAGATCCAGAAACCAGTTTTATCTACTTTATTTTCCTTCTAGTTTTTACATTTCTTGCTTTTTACATTTCTGTACTTCAAATTCTTGTACTGTACTTTATTCATAGGAGTTGTTTCGAGTAGTTTGTTGTTGTAAACCTCTACAAGGCTGGATCGGATTATTGTAAGTTTTTCATTTTTACTTAATGAAATGCTGCAATTGTTCCTCATTTAATTGTTGTTTATTAAATTCTCTTAAACAAGCCACCAGTAAAAGTCCTCTTCATTGAGGCTGAAAGAACTGAAATACAATCGTCTGATAATTGGTTGGCAATTAATCTTCTGTAAGGACTGATTGATCCTTACTGGCACGCTTAAAATTACAAAACTAACTTTCAAAAGCCAACATATATTTTTGACATGCTCGGTGAGACAAATTGAAATGGCTAGACGTAGGAGACAAGGAGAAAATGAACGCCTGGAAGAAGGTGTAGAAGGAGAGGTAGAGATACCTAATCCAAAGGATAATATGATAACACATCCTGTGGAAGTACTTGTCTGATCAGAATCTATGGTCGAACAGACCAGCACTTTGGAGCAAGTACCACATGTTCAAAATATTGGACGAGGCCATGGAATTGGACCATCCACTGTTTCATCTACTCAGCTAATGAATCCATGGGGAGGCCTAGTAGATACCATGAGACAGCAGTTAATGAACACAATGGAAAGATGGGCAATATTGTCACGACCCAAACCCCGCCCTATGGGTTTAGCACCGTAACCGGCCAGTAATCCGAGATTACCGAAGGCCTGCAGAACAGTAGTACAATAAAATAGAGTACAGGGCCTAGCGGAAGCCAATACAGTAAATAAACAATGTCCAATGAGCTGTGACAGTCTGTATGCAAAAAGACTTTGATACATATAAACATAATCAGTACAGAGCAGTATGCACACTATATACAATCATTCAGACTAGGGACTCAACCCCTTACATAACAGTACAGTAACATTCAGTCTATACCATCCATTCGGTTATTTAATACAAAACAGTAACAGGGACCAGCGGGGGAAAAGACACCCCAAGCCATAGCATGGCGAACTCGGAACCTCGCAGTGAGGCACGGTGGTTGGCTTAATAAAACTGGAATAACCCTGACGCCTCTAGCTTTGGTCCGGTGCCTGTACACCTACATATATATATGAGCAGTGAGCTAAAGTCCAGTGAATAACATAAAGCGTAAAGGGGTTTGGAATGAATGTCCTTACAGCAATGAAAACAGTTCATTTCAATCAGTATTTCAGTTGCTCAGTACAGTAAACAGTCATATGTGGTACACCCATTAGCATATCAGTAACAGTAGGTCCTAAAAGACCGAACAGTAATGATGGCCATCAGTCAGTAAACAGTAGTGGCTCCACGAGGGAACTGACAGAGATCTCTGTAACAGTAACAGTAAACAGTAGGTGCTAAGGATGCCACAGTACAGTTCAGAAATAAAGGACATACATTCATTCAGTAATACCAGTTCAGTAAGCAGATCAGTTCAGTATTCAAAAGATAATCAGTTGAACATATCTTTACACAATTGTTACTCACAGAGTTCTGGGCTACGGTAGGCTAGAGCGTCTCCTCGAAATGCCAACCTGTAACAACCCCCATACTGTTTACTGATTAGGGACTGATTGATTACCGATAATTACCGATTACTGCTAAACGGAACTGATGATGACTGATAACTGACTGATAATTGAACTGATTAAAGTACTGAACTGACTGATTGAAATTGGAAACTGAATTGACTGAGTATATGTTAGTTAAATTGCATTCTATCTGTTTGACTGTATGATTATCTGTTCATGCTTATATGTTTAAACTGCTAATTGAAGGCCATATTGGCGGCCGAATTAGAAACCGATTGATGTTCCGTGACCCTCATAATTAATGTGATTTTATGGTATAATTTTCTGAAAACTGATTAGGTATGATTAATTAGATTAAAGTAAGCTAATTGAAGAGTTGGACTTAATTACCGTTTTGCCATTGTTAGTGGGCCCTTATTATAACATGTTAGAGCCTTGGTATGCTTGAATCAAACATTTTGCTCAGCTCATTTCTTGCTTTTGCCGACCTAGAGAGGAGGGTTAGAGAGAGAGAGAATTGTTCTTGTTGATTTTGCTTGTAAATTGCTTGGTAATTGAAGAAATTGTTGAGGTGATTGCATATTTGAGCTCCCTTCTTGAACTACAAGACTAAAGGTAGCTCCATTGTCTTCTTATTCATGTTTTGAGTGGATTTTTGCATGATTCATGCTTCCTTGTAGAACTAAGTCATGTTTTGGTTCATTGTTGTTGAATTGAAGCTCAATCTTTGCATGCATGTACATATATTGAAGTTTTGAGGTTGTAGTTCATAATGCCTCACTTGCATGTCCATCTTTTGGTCATACTCCATGAGTTCATCCTATCTTTGAAGGTTTGAGCTCTTTTGAAACAGCATTGAAGCTTTGAAAAGGATTTAAGATCATGCATGTCATGTTTGAGGATTGTTCTTGAAAAATGGTTTGAAATTGAGTTTGAATTAAACACCCTTAGGCTTTGATTTCTCAAATTGAGCTTTAAAACATGTTATTCTATGCGTTTATAAATGTTTTCTGGAAATGTAGCCCAAGAGGTCGAGTTTTGATGCTTTTGAACTTGGTTTTGAGCTTGGAGGTGCAATCTGGGTTTTCCAGATTTCGCACTTCCGCTCGAGCGGGGGGAGTACCGCTCGAGCGAAGAATCCGAGCATCCAGCATCTCTCTGCACTGTTTTAGGAGTAGAGGCTCTCTCCAAATCAGAGAGTGGTGTGAGTTGAGTTGAGGATGTAGGATTCCCTCATCCTCATGTATCTCTGGTGTGTTATCTCTAGTTTCAGGAGGTGCGAGCGTCTCAGTGAGGAGATGCAGACTATATTGAAATTTAGGCGTGACAAGATTAGCAACAGTGTGTTCAGTGGATCACCTCACATAGGTTGAGGGGGTGATTTGTTGGATATCAACTCATTCTAGCCCACTATGGAAAGATAATGGAGGTGGCTCCAACCCACTAGCTAGTGGAAGAAGGTAGATGGCTCACTAACTCCAACCCACTAGAGAGTGGAATAAGGTAGGTAGCAACCAATGAGGTTCTCCCTCATTTGTATATAAATAGAGGAAGAGAGTGTGGAGCTTAAGTGAGAGAGAGCAAATCAAGAGAAAGTGAGAGATGTGAGGCAGAAAGACCGTCTCTTTCGGTGTGAGAGAGGGAGATGGGTAAGTGGGTGAGTGAGGATAGTGTGAGTTCTTCCTCTATTGTAATCTTTCAGTAATCTCTCCATTGTTATAGTAATAATCGGTTACTCTCCCGTGGACGTATGCATTGAGGTCGAACCACGTTAAATATAGTGTCTCCTTATTGCAGTGTTTGTGTATTTTTTTGCTTGGTATAATTTCTGGAAGGTCTTGGGCGAGATCCCCGATCCCTAACATTCTAAACCCCTTTACGCATTATGTTATTCACTGGGCTTTAGCTCACTGCTCATATATATATGTAGGTGTACAGGCACCAGATCGGAGCTAGGAGCGTCAGGGTAACTCCAGTTTTGTCAAGCCAGCCTTCGTGCCTCACTGCGAGGTTCCGAGCCTATCTGCTAAGGCTTAGGGGCGTTTTAAGAATTCCCCCTTCCGTACTGTTTCACTGTTTTGTATAGACTGACTGTTCACTGTACCGCTATCTAGGGTTGAGTTCCTAGTTTGAATGAATGTAAATATTGTGCATACTGTTCTGTACTGTTTATGTATGAATGCATGAAAAATCTTTTTGGCATACAGACTGTCACAGCTCATTGGACATTGTTTAATTACTGTATTGGCTTCCGCCAGGCCCTGTACTCTGTTTTACTGTATTACTGTTCTGCAGGCCTTCGGTAATCTCGGATTACTGGCCGGTTACGGTGCTAAACCCATAGGGCCGGGTTTGGGTCGTGACACAACCCTATACAGTTAACAGATTGAACACACTCTAAGTTTCATAGATGGGAAAGGTAATAATTAAATCCCTAAATTTGCCTCGGTGTGTTCTACATCTATATCCTCATTAAGATGTCTAAAACTAGGCCTAAGAATGCCTAGGATGACATGAGGATGCAAAGATGCACTTAGAAAACATTTTCGAATTTTTCAGAAAACAGGGGTCACGCTCGGGCGTAGGTCACTCCGCTCGAGCGGACATGCAGACAAAGGTACCTGCTCGAGCGTAGAATTACCCGCTCGAGCGTTTCGCAAAAACAGTCAAAAGTGCTGGATGGGTGAAATCTCCGCTCGACGGACGCT